AGGACTTTTTGGCTTTTTGACTTTTTTGACTTTTTTTGTGAGAGAAGAATGTAATGATTATGGGTTGGATGTGATATTTTGTTTTTTGTGGCTAAAATAACCTATTTTGTCTTTTGTGGCTAAAATAGCCAAAAAAGCCCCGTTTAGCTCTTGCCAAACGGAGCCTTAGTCAGTTAAGGTCTGACTTTTAGAAACAATAGACTTTGTTATTATTGGGCCTTGTACATCTGGCTGGACATTTGCATTTTGGCATATGATTTATGCATTTTGTACGGATTGGCTCAAAGATGATGTTATTTTCCTTCACAATTGTGTTGCAGTTGCAGAGTATCCACCATTCATTCGAACATAAACTATCAACAGGTCCTAATAGCTGAACTTAATTCCCATCAAGTCCTATTGAAAATAAGTCTTGGTAAAATTGTCGCTAAAAATAATTTTTTTGTGACAATTTTTTATATATGTCGCTAAAAATTAACAATTAGTGACTTTTTCTCATGATTTTTATAAATTGTCGCTAAAACTTACAATTGGTGACTTTTTTTATGACAAATTTTTTTCATAGGACCCATTGGGGGTGTTTGGCAAGAAAAAAAATAGCCTAGTTTAGGCTAAAATTCACAAAAAGACAAAATAGGCTAAAATAGTTAATAAGACAAAATATCACATCAAACCCATAATCATTTTACTTTTTCTCTCACAAACATCACATCCAACCACAAAAAAATCAATCATTTTCCCAAATACAAAAATTTTAGCCTACTAAAATAACCAAAAACTAAAATAGCCTACTAAAATAGCAACTTCCGAAACGAAGCCAATAAGTCTACTTTTTTAAGACCTACACGTAAGTACTCCAAACCTCACTGGTTAGACATGTTGAGCACTTGATTTACAAAAGTGTGATTACTGGTGTCTCTTGGAACACACATGATTTGTTGTCTGTTTACAATAGAATTCTTTGGATTTTGGTAAACGAGTACAATGTTCACTTAAGTTAGGACTTCTAGATCTCTGTATAGGAGCCTTGACTTCAATGTTAGGGTTACCTTGTTGCATTGAAAGCTTAAGAGCATATAAAATTCCAATAGGGCTTTTTATAGTCTACAAATTTTCTCTCATTTTATGGTTTGCATAATCGACTTAGTGGTCACATTTATTTTTAATTTTATTTTTATTTTTTGACAAATAAGAGAAATAAATAAAAATAGATATAAAAATTCTTATCATTTTTATATAATTTTATTTTTCGAGTGGTCAGAAATAAATTTTAAAAATATAAAATATTTTTTCATATTTGTTTTCATCAAATTATTTTTCTTTTTATTTTTAGTGACTTCCATTTTATTTTATTTTAAATATTTTAGGCAATTTTTTTTTTTAGATAGACCAAATTTAGATACACTTAAAAAATATAATATTTGTGAAGAAGAAAAACTTTAAAAAATTTACCAAATACAAAAAATAGGGCAAATTACCAACACTCCCTCAAGGTTTGACTAAAATACGGATTCCCCCCTAAGATTTGGGAAATTACAAATTGCCCCTGAGATTTATATTTGCATAACAAATGAGGGGAGTAATTTGTTATGCAAATATAAACATCAGGGGGCGGGATGTTATTTTTCAAACTTCAGGGGAGAATCCATATTTTAGTCAAACCTCGAGGGGGCGTTGGTAATTTGCCCCAAAAAATATAAAAAAAAAAAAAACAAAAACAAAAACAAAACAAAACAAAAAATTAATACATTTTTATATTTTGTTGTATTCAATGAATTTTTTTAAAAACAAATTATATAAATTATATATTTTTAAGTATATCAAGATTAAGTAGATCTAAAAAGTTTTTAAAAATATTGATTAAAATATTTTTAAAAACAATTAAAAATACAAAAATACGAATTAAAAACTCAAAAAATCATTTTTTAAAACTTCAAACCAAAGAGGGTTAACTTGGGAAAATTAGGTTGATCACTTTTGAAGTTTAAATAAATGTAGAGTAAATTACCCGATTTCTCATGAGATTTAAAAAAAAAGTATAATAAGTTTCACAATTTTGACATAATTATATTGAACTCCTTTGATATTTTAATTCATATAACACTTAATTCTATTTTCATCAATTATTTATTAGTTACATGAATGAAAAAAAATGATATTATTATCTTTTTTACTTGAAAATGTATATTGTGCGTTGTTTATTTTTGTATTCTCAGACCATCTATATTAATTTTTGTTCATTTAATCTTGTTAAAAAAGAGGTCAGTGTAATTATGTCAAAATTGTGCAGTTTACTGTATTTTTTTCAAATCTTAGGAGAGGTCAATATAATTTACACAAAATAAGCCCCACAAATTTAAAATAATTACTCTGACATCCCTCATAGTAAGGCTAAAATGACCAAAATGAAAACAGATGGTGTGCAGATACATAGATAGTTTAATCACTAATTTTTAACTCTGAGCAACAGTTTAAAAAATTTATCATAAAAAAAACATCACTAATTATAAATTTTAGCCACAATTTATAAAAATTATGAGAATAAAGTCACTAATTGTCAATTTTTAACAACATAAGCAAAAAAATTATTACAAAAATTATTTTTTATGACAATTTTATTAAAACTTAATAAAAATTAAGTCTAACTATTAGAATCTATTAATAATTTATTCTTAATTTAACGGGCTTAAAATATGATCCCAATCCTGCCCAATATACAAAAATAAATTTCTCAAACCCTAACAAAAGAAGCTGGGCTGCGCTGTTTGGGTGGGTCAATGGGCCAATCCCTACCTTTCCCATTCACTATTCCCTTTGCCCTTTCCCTTCTAATATTACTAGCCTATCACCCGTGCTATGCACGAGATAATTATGGATATTTATATTTTTTTTAATATATAAACTATGTTTTTAAAGATTTTTTATAAAAATAATTTAACAATTTTATCACTAACATAGTGTACAAGAGAAATTAAAAAGGCTACTGCAGTAATTATGCACGGGTTGTATCTATAATTATTTGTATGAGGAGATTTTAAATACTAATCAGGGATTTTGACCAAATCAATAAATGCAGGCATATGGATTGAAAAAAGTTAATAAATGCTGATCAGGGGATTTTGACCAAATCAATAAATGCTGAGGTGCTTTTTTTTTAAATCAAAAATTTAGAAAATTAATATTGAGAGATTGGAGCTCCTACAAGGCTTGGGGTTTAGAAACCCCAATTTTCTTAATATATTTATAATTATTTATATATGTGAATTGCGATTTTTAAATGTCTTTTTATTTTTATTTTTAAATGTCTTCTTTTTTTCCTTTTTTATATTATATTAAAGTTTAATATTTTGATAATAATCATACGTGTTGGACTTTTCAAGAAATTAAATGTCTTTTTTTTTTATTATATTATATTAAAGTTTAATATTTTGATAATAATCATACGTGTTGGACTTTTCAAGAAATTAAATGTCTTTTTTTTTTATTATATTATATTAAAGTTTAATATTTTGATAATAATCATACGTGTTGGACTTTTCAAGAAATTAAATGTCTTTTTTAAGACTTGGGGGTTGGGAGAAGTTAATAAATGCTAAGTTTTTTTTTTTTTTTAAATCAAAAAATCAGAAAATTTAGATTAGAAGATTGGAGCTCCCACAAGGCTTAGGGTTAAAAATTCCCTTTTGCTTAATATATAGTATAGATAGATGATCATATGTGTTGGACTTTTCAAGAAATTTTTTTTATGCTTGTTCTTAATACATTAAAGTGTTATTATGAGGGACAATAATCATATGTGTTGGGACTTTTCAAGGAATTCATATGTGTTGGATTTCAAAGAATTTTTTTTATGCTTGCTCTTAATGCATTAAAGTGTTATTATGAGGGTAAAACTTGGGGGTTAGGAGAAGTTAATAAATGTTAAGGTTTTTTTTTTTAAAATCAAAAAATCAAGAAATTTAGATTGGGAGATTGGAGCTATCACAAGGCTTGGGGTTAAAAACCCCGTTTTGCATCTATATATGTGAATTGCGATTTTTAAATGTCTTTTTTTTTTTAAATGCCTTCGTTTTTTCCTTTTTTATATTATATTAAAGTTTAATATTTTGATAATAATCATATGTGTTAGACTTTTCAAGGAATTAAATGTCTTTTTTTTATTTTATATTATATTAAAGTTTAATATTTTGATAATGATCATATGTGTTGGACTTTTCAAGAAATTTTTTTTATAGTAAAGTTTAATATTTTGATAATGATCATATGTGTTGGACTTTTCAAAAAAAAAATTTTATGCCTGTTTTTAATGCATTAAAGTGTTATTATGAGGGATAATAATCATATGTGTTGGAACTTTTCAAAGAATTCATATGTGTTAGATTTCAAAATTTTTTTTTTATACTTGTTCTTAATGCATTAAAGTGTTATTATGAGGGTAAGACTTGGGGATCGGGAGAAGTTAATAAATGTTAAGGTTTTTTTTTTTTTAAATCAAGAAATTTAGATTGGGAGATTGGAGCTCCCACAAGGCTTGGGGTTAAAAACCCCATTTTGCTTAATATATAGTATAGATACTAGCCTATCACCCGTGCTATGCACGGGATAATTATAGATATTTATATTTGTTTTAGATTTTTTATAAACATAATTTAATAATCTTATTACTAACCATAGTGTATGATGGAAGTTGAAAAGGGTATTGCAGTAATTATACACAAATTGTATCTATAATTATTTGTATGAGAGGATTTTAAATGCTGATTAGGGAATTTTGACAAAATCAATAAATGCAGACATGTAGAAAGACATGTGGATTGAAAGAAGTTAATAAATGTTGATCAGGAGATTTTGACCAAATCAAATGCTGAGTTTTTTTTTTTAAATAAAAAATTTAGAAAATTCAGATTGAGATATTGAAACTCCCACACAGGGTTAAAAACCCCATTTTACTTAATATATAGTATAGATATATATAGGCCTGATAGCAGTCTGTATGTTTAACAAATCACTTGGGAAAGAAGAAGGTTGGAAGCATAGAGGTTTCACAAATATATATGTACACTTGGTATAATCCTTTTTCTCCATGAAAGGTCAGTTTTTTATTCTAACTTGTATGTTGGTTCTTCTTTTCTTCTTCTTCTTCTTATTTACAATATGATGTGCCCTTTGTTTACATTAATTTTCTTAATTTGAATTGTGGTTTTACTATTAGAATCGGATTGTTCGGTTTTCTTGTTAAGGACCTTCAGATCCGTAAGAATAGCTATATTAGCTTAGCTATTGATATTTATGAGATTGTGATTGTGATTGTGATTGTGATTGTGATTGAGATTGAGATTGTTCATTTTTTTATGAAACCCTACTACTAATTATTATGAAATTGTTTGGATTTATGGATTTGAAATCAAAATATGTTAAATTTAGATTTGTTACTTTTCTATATATGGATTTCAAGATTGAAATCTTTCAAAACAACAATGTCAAATTAGTTATTTGAAATATTTCGAGGATTCTAATAAAATACTTATCTTTCTCCTTCCCCTTTAGCTTTTCAATTTACCTATAATAAATTGGTCATTCTAGAATTGAAGGTTTATTAGAGTTAAGGCAGAAAATTATCATCTAGTGTTAATTACTCCAAGACCCCCTCAAATATTAGCACTTTACCCTCTCATCTATCAAACCAGACATTTGATCCCTTCAATTATAAAAATGTATCACTTTCCCCCCCCCCGGACACCTTTCGGGGGTGTATTAGTACAATTTTCATAATTAAAGGGGTCAATATGTACGTGTTCATAGATAGCTTGTATATATTACTTTCAGTTCTTCATCCGTAGCTGGCAGAGCTAGCAAGTAGTCCATGGCAATGAGGCCATCAACGCAGATTAGCGAACAAAGCAAGACTGTGAGGATTTGTTTGAGACTTTGAGAATTTGTTTGTTGATGGAGATGAAATGAAATAAATGGGAAAAATAACCGGCATAACAGACTTTTGAGAATTACTAAATTTTTTCCAACTTCCTTGTAATCAAAAGTTGGCTTGCTGCCTTCATCCTAATAGTCCCATAATTTAATCTCTTACAATATATTTTTTAAAATTTAATTTTAACCAGAGTTTTTTTGCATTGTGTTTTAGGTATCCATTTGTTGGTACATTGCAAAAATCAAAAACTTGCAAGTGGTTGAATCTTGTTCTGCCCTTTGGTTACTTTTGGAAATCAAAAAAAAAAGTAACAATGAAGAAGGGAAGGAGTACTAGTAATAGTTGTGGATTTACTACTTGTTCATTGCCTGAAGAAATGTTGGTGGACATTCTAACAAGACTACCAGCAAAGGTGGTAGTCCAATCCAAGTGCATCTCCAAGCATTGGTGCTCTCTGATTGAGCATCCCTCTTTTGTGGACTTACACCATACCCGTGCCCAATCTAGGCCCTACCTTGTCATCTCCTTAATCAACTACTCGTTCACCAAGATACATTTTTTCTCAGCAGATTATGAAGGAGGACCGGCCCAGTACTTGCTTACTGATTTCCTCTCAGCACTTTATCATATTAAACAATCTGTCAATGGCTTAATATGCGGGTACCTTAGAAAGTCTAAATCCATTTTCATCGTGAATCCTACCACTCGACAATTTGTTACCCTTCCTCCAACACGTTTACTTTCTTATGATGCTAATTCTACTTGCGAACCATATTTGTCATTTGGGTTTGATCCTTCTACCAAGCAATACAAAGTGTTGCTCACAACTTTTATACACATCGAGGTGGAGGGGGAGTGTTATGACTACTTAGATTACAAGTGTGAAATTTTCACTTTGGGGACACATTCATGGAGAGAGATTGATTGTCTTTCTATTCCTTGGCACTGTGAATTTGGTAGGGGTGGTCGTTGTGTTAATGGAGTCATACACTGGAGAAATAGGAGTTCTTTTATATCGAAACCTTCTCCTCCTATGAGTGCAGATGTCATAGTAGCATTTGAACTGAAAAATAAGAGATTTCAAATGATTCCACTCCCTAGGGGACCATCATGCATGCGTCATCTACGAGAACTTGGTGGCCATTTGGTAGCTTGTGGTGAACACACAGAAAATGGTTGGGAGGAGCTTTGGATTTTGCAAGACTATGAGAATTGGATTTGGGTCAAAGAGATAATGATGCCTGCTCTTGATTGGGGTCGAGAGGGAGATCCTTATATTGTCGGCGCAATTCAGACAGGTGAAATACTTCTACAACCTTCACGGATACATGACCTCTGGAATATTTACTATTATGATCAGAATAGGAAATCTTTTAGAAAGATTAAGATCACAGGACTTCCTGATTCAGAGTTCTTCGGCAGGCGTGGTAGGAATGCCTTACATGTCACTAATTATGTCGAAAATCTATTTTCCTTGAGTGATATTTGAAATTTGAAGGAATTCCTTTTTTCCTAATTTGTTAGGGAAGGTCAGTGTAATTTATACCAAAAATATATACGTAGTATTCACATGGCCATTTCCAGTCATTTGTGGCATATTCAAAGCAAACACTTATTTGCTCAAGCTTTTTATTTTTATTTTTATTTTTATTTTTATCATTTTTTTCAGCTTTTACTACTGGATTTAAAAAATGTAGGTAAATTTCACTTCACCTGCATGTGGTTTTGCCGATGTGTTAATTACCTCTCTCAGTTAGAAATAACCACATAATTTTCTTGTGATTTATAAACTAAAGTGCATCGTTAAACATTTTGTTCAATTTAATAGTAAATTATTATTTTTAAAATCGTACCAGACATGAAGGGGTTATATGTGTATTTTCAATTATTATTTTTTTTATGGGAATTCATTTTCAAATTTTAATAGGGTAAATTGCACATGAAATAAAACATAGGAGCTTAAATTGTATTTTGCCTCCCAAACAAATGACAAAAATATCTATAATTTAAAGGTATTTTAATCTTTTTTGTTAAATCTATAGCGATCCCGGGTTTACCCTTGTTGTACTGTGATCCGGACATGTGTCCGTGGATGTTGGTAGTTGTTTATTATCTTGTTTCATTTTCAAATTTTAATAGGGTAAATTGCACATGAAATAAAACATAGGAGCTTAAATTGTATTTTGCCTCCCAAACAAATGACAAAAATATCTATAATTTAAAGGTATTTTAATCTTTTTTGTTAAATCATTAATGCCTAACCATTCATTTTAGTTGACAAGTCATGAGGGGGGTGATGCGATTATTTCCAAATGAAGGGAGTAATCTTCAAATTAATCAAATTACAAGGGTTAAATTGAAATATGTTCTAAAAAAATATGAAACTAACTTCGAGTAAACTATCGAAAATATATTTACATATTTTCGTATCTAATTATGATACAAAATATAATCATGATGCAGGCATTGGGTAGGTTTTCTTTTTAATTATTTTTTATTATTTAATTTAAATTTTAAAAAAAATTAATTTTGTCATCGTATAGTAGTGTTTCTAATACACAATGCACAAATATTGTTTCAGCAAGAAAATATTTTATACTTTATCTCCTTGAACACTCAATATCAATTTATCTCCTCAACTAAAAAATGTTACATTTTTTTCACCGTAAACTCTTAATTTGTGTATCAATGAAACATTTTGTTAAAGACTTGTTTCTTAGGGCTTCTCCAATGGTGCATCACTTTTTTTTACCAAATTTGAGTAAAAACTCTCTTTGATATCGCTTGCTCCAATGAAGAAATTTGACTTTTCATCAAATCACCGGTTGACCTGGCAGACGACCGACCAATTGACCAGTCAATGCAAAAAATTAAAAAAAAAACAAGTCCTGCATCTTTGTGTGTTTATTATCTTCTTCTTATTCAATAATTTCACATTCAGTTTGTTTGTATGTTCAATTTAATTGACAAGTCCTGCATCTTTGTGTGCTTATTATGCACATTGATTCACTCGCTGATTTTTTGTTATTTTATTGATTCTCTCTCTCTCTCCCCAACTATGTACACATACATACATATTCTGTGTTTGACAAGGTCCTTGGATCGCTTTATATTTCTATTTTCTATTTTCTTTGTTTGGATCACTATATACACATAGGCATAGGCCATGTTTGTTTGGGTGAACATGTGCTTGGGATAGGATTAATAGTCCAATAAAATTATTAATCTGATGTTTGGTTAAAAAATTAAGGTACAGATTAACAATCCATCCGGATATAATATCCTACATATGATGAATTATTCAATCCTACAAAGAGGGGTGGGATATAAATTGAGGGATTAACTAAAGTCTGGACCAACTCACCAAATTAAGCATCAATATATATCTATATTTGTTGTTATCTTATTCCACCACCTTCACTCTTCTTCGACATTGCTGTGATGAGATGAGAGTCTTCAAAGTTCGTCGTCGATCTTGAGCCACTTATCACCGATTTGGAGCCACCATTTACAAATCTAGAGCAATTGTTCATCGATTTGGATCCACCATTGGTTGATTCGCTGATCTCAACAAAGCAATTGTTCATCGATTTGGATCCACCATTTGTTGATTCGCTGATCTCAACAAATTTCAGTGAGTAAAAGTTTTTTTTTTTTTTTTTTTTTTTCCATTGATGTTTGGTTTGAATTAAGGTGCTATTACGTGGATTGATTTTCTATGAATCTTTGTTTTACATTGGTGTTGTTTTAGTTATTGCTCTTTCTCTCTCTTCATCTTCATAGATCCATATCTAGGGTTATGAGTTTTTAACTCACATTGAAATCTCAGATTTGTTGATTGTGGGTTCATATTGTTAGATTTTTATGTCTTTCCAGAACCAGTGTTAAATTGTGTTGTTTATCTGTGATTCGATTAAGTGATTTATTATGAGCATTTTTGAATTTGGTGTTTCCAGAAATAAATAGCCTTATAATGTCTGGAAAACTTGAATATGCAAATTCATAGTGGGAGTGACTAGAGTAGAGCGCAAGTTTTTGTTGACTGTGGATAGACACAACACTTGACAAATGTTTCTAATTGCTTATTGGGGCTATAACTTGTATGTAATACCTTGCTAGAAAACCTTAGGGCTTGTTTGGAAGTTCATAGCTTTAGCCGAACAAAAAATGTGATTTTGTTCTTGAAAAGGAATCACTTGTCACTTACACCTTGTACAGAAGTTCATCTCTAAAAGAACATGGGCAAATTCAAGGAATACATCCTTTTGAGGTGCTTGTTTTGGTTATTTTTCTTCCTTTCCTCCCTCTCCCCCATTTGTGTATCTGTGTGTCTCTCTGTGCAATCGATTTGAACCACATTCCCTGCTGCTATACCTCATCTGACATCCATCGCTGACCGTTGCATTCTCATGGCTGCTTTCTTTTACTATAGCATCATTTTCTTTGAGTTAATATTGCTCAAGTTTTTATTTCTTTCAGAGTTCGCATCAGCTTTGATGTTTTGTTTTGATTGCTTTAATTTTTGGGATCTAACTGGAAACTCAGCGTCTTCTAACATGTTTTTATAATGATCCTACAAATAAATAGCCTTTTAATTAGCATTTTCAAAGTACTTGCCTAGTTTTTAAGAGTTCATATTAATGTATTCTTTGATTTTGAAAGTAAGGAAGGTTTCTTGGAAATGCTAAGGTGACTGTGGCTAGTGTTAATCTTTGTTTTTGTTTCTTAGAAAGCCTTACTGTTCTAGTTCTTCTTCTCTAGTCATGTATGACTCAATCGTTGTAATACATAGATCAGCTTCTCTCTCTCTCTCTCTCTCTCTAGAGATTGTGCAGCAATGAGGGTGGTCATCTGTGAACAGAGTAACTGACTCGTACAAATGGCTTTTATTTATTTATTTATTTATTTTATTTTCAGTTTATTAGATGAGATGGCCAGCTGTGAGTGATGGGAGGTGACAGCCCAATCATAGTTGTAGGATTGTAGAAAGAAAGTCGTCGTGGCGGATGATTGACTGGGTCTGTGATTGGGAGGAGTCACGGGCTCTCTTGATTTATTTTATTTCTATTATTTAATTTTTTGAATTAGCTTTTCATTGATGAGATCTTACCAGATCTGTTACAACTCTGCCATTGGATGATTGCTTCCTATTGGCTAGTGCTAGGATTGGAAAATTACCTTCAAAATAAGTTTTAAAAAAAATGTTTGAAGGTTCTAACCTAAAAACTTGAAGAGAGGGGGCTCTCATCTATTAATGTGATGTTTTAGTTTGTTTTTTTAATTTTTTTTTTCATTGTCAATTTAGTAGAGTTGATTTTAGAGTTCATTGTCTAAAATTCTCCATCATGGTCCTAAGTTTAAATGTTAAAGTTTTATTAAAAAAAATATGTGAAAAAGTAAAGAGGTAATATGATCTAAATAAGTCAATAAGTTGATTTTTTTTTTCCCCTAATTGTTGAAATAGACTTGTGGGAATTGACCTTTTTTTTGAGTAATTTTTTATTTTATTTTTTATAAAACCAAACTAAACCAAATCAAGTCTTAAGTCTCATTAAATGGAGTCGGTTATATGAATCATTTTTCATAACAGGGTGAGTAAAATATAGGACACTTGAACCTAATTTTGCATGGACTGAGAAATGATGAAATCTTGTTTTTGTGGCACTGGTGAGAGGAGCAGATAACTACTTTGGCTGCCATTGTTACAGAAACTGTATGCCCACTTTGTTCATCATCCCTTGACCCAGCATATATATCTTGCTTTGTTTTTGGATATGGTTGTTGTGGCATTGATATGTACTAGTCTAGATATTATAAACATCAGCTATCCACTTAAACATCTGAACAGCATGCCCCAAATGGCCCGCTTCCCCACTGATAACGGAAACTCATCATCTAGGTGTAACCCACAAGCTATATCATTCACCCTTATTTGGTATTTCCCAATCTCCATTGCTGATACATGATAATATTCATCACATCATCATATATTTTCAAAACAGTTTTTAACTCTATATAAAATAAAAATAAAAGTGGACATATATAATAACAAGTTGCTGTGACGGTTTGCAAGTGGAACCTGTAATCGACTCTGGTATCAAGTGTGGACATGTTTCCAAAATGTCAGACTCATCTAATTTCCAACAAAAAGATGAGGGCTCTCACATTATGGTGGGACAAATTATAAGTGAATGCTTTCTACCCAGTTTTCCTGACCCAACAAAACTGCTAGTTGAACATATTCAGAACTGAAACCATGTAGCAGCTAAGTCATACACACACCAAGCATGACAAGAAAAAATGATCATGTTTTTACCAAACTGAAGTCCTCTCTGTTAGCATACAAATCCCAAAACTTCAAGATATTCCCAAAATATTCATGTTAGTTAAGGGCCTCCCTTGTGCAGTTTGTAGGTGAGCACAAAAGTTTTGGCAAAGATTGAAAATCCAAAATCTGCTAAAGTATGTAAATTGAAGTTAACATACCCTAACTAATTGTTGCAACACTGCCAAACATGAACCATATGCAACAGATCCTGGATATAAGCCTCTCTCGGCACCAATTATTGAGGTCCAAAATACAATGGATCTTCCTGATTTGTGATCTCGCATTCTTTTGTGAGTATGCATAATATGTGGTTTCCAAATTACTATTGTGCATGTGATATGACCCCTTGGGCTTGACTAGTAAGATGATTAGGAAGCATGTGGGAAATGTATATGGATATTATTAGATCATCCTACTTCCTACTTCATAATAATCTGTTGGTCCTTGTAGAGATTGTTATGCTCATATGTTCTACATTATTATTATTATTTTTACTTATTTATTTATTTATTTTGTTAATTTTTTTGGAATTATGAAGTTTTCTTGTACTCTAATATATTGATGGGCATCACTATTTGCATAGGTGGATTACAATTTCGATGGGTTTGGAGATGAGAGTAATGAAGAGCTTGAGCTTTATGTAGTGTTGCAAGTTGTAATGCAAGAATTGTACGCCTTATGTGTTGTAGCATATATTGTCATTGAAATTGTCTTGAAGAGGTACATTCATAAGTATCCTCGTACCGTTATTCCAGGGCCCAATCGATTGCAAGAACAAATGGACCACATTAATCGGCTAGTGAGAGAAAGCGACATTACATGCATTGAACAAATTTGTATGGATAGGTGTTGTTTTATGACGTTATGTCATATGGTTCATACAATAGGCGGGCTGGGGCATTCAAAACATGTTACCTTAGAAGAGAAGATGACCTTGTTCCTCTACCTCTCAGCACATGACTTGAAAATACGAAAAGATCAATTTCTTTAGGTCCGAAGAGACTGTAAGTCGATATTTCAATGATGTCCTAAAAACTGTGTTGAGCCTTCAAGGCCACTTACTTGGGACACCAAATCCTATAACACAAGCATGCACTGATCCAAGGTGGAATTGTTTCCAGATAAATGTAGTTTTAAAACATTTAATAAAATACATTGCACTTTTTTTTTTTACAACTCATAATTATAACAATGTCTTCTTTGTATTAGAATTTTCTTGGAGCACTTGATGGAACCTATATTAAGGTTCGTGTACCAGTGGTTTACCAAGCACGGTATAGAACACAGAAGGGGGAGATTGCTACCAATGTTCTAGGAGTTTGCTCCGAGGACATGAACTTCATATATGTGTCGCTGGGGTGGGAAAGGTTAGCTGCAGACTCTAGGGTTTTGAGGGATGCGATTAATCAACCCAATGGCTTAAGAATTCCAACAGGTAATTAATAAATGATTAACTTTGCTTGATGGAATTGCTAAGTTTTATTTAATAATAGATTCTAATATATAACATCTCATACAGGGTACTACTACTTAGTAGATGCCAAGTATACAAATGACAAGGATTCTTAGCACCTTATCGGGGCCAATGATATCATTATCTGTTTGGAGAGCAGGGACCACTCCAACTAATTATCAAGAATTTGTTAATATGAAGCATGCATTAGCCCGAAATGTCATAGAAAGGTGTTTTGGATTGTTGAAAATAAGATGGGTAATACTTCATTGTGCATCATATTACCCCATTAGAACTCAAAACCGTATCATCACAGCATGTTGTTTGTTACACAACCTCATTCGTCGAGAGTTGCCTGTTGACCCAATAGAAGAGAGGCTAAATAATGACATAGAAGATCAACCTTAATTGGGAGATGATTTTGTTGGCACCGTTGAGACATCTAATGAGTGGACTGCGTGGCAGGATACACTTGTAATGCAACTATACAACAATTGGTTGGCTAGTAGAGAGGCAAGACAAGGAAATTTTCAATATTTGTGTAAGTACTTGTTACAAGTATGATGTAGTTTCATTTGATTTGTACTTGGAACTTGAATTAGCTTGTGGATGTTGAACCATTTTTTGCAAAAATTGTATGGTTTTTGTTGGTGATATTTTTTAAGCGACGATATTTTTTGGTCTCATGGATTTGTTACATGTATGTATGGGTATGAAATTTTTTTGATTATTGAAATCCATTTATGTATTGACTTGTTTTGGCATGTTAATAGGTTGATAATCATATAATAAAGACTAACATGCACACTTTTCTTTGTTCTTCTTTGCTAGGCATGGATAGTGAAGTATCTAGTTCTCGTAAAAAAGTAAAGGAGAAAGTTGATCCGTCAAAACCAAGGTGATTGTGGAGCCCACGAGAAGAGGAATGTTTTATTAATGCTTTGATGCACATTGTCAACAATGGAATGAAACAGGACAATGCCTTCAAGGCCGGCTACCTTATGAAATTAGAGGAGAAATTGTTGGAGATGCTACCCAGGACAAACCTTCAAGCCACTCCTCACATCGAATCAAAGATAAAGATATGGAAGAAGCACTACAATTGTGGAGGAATGCTTGGTACTAGTGGTTTTGGATGGAATGACACCGAAAAAAGAATTGATGTTGAGAGTGATAGTGTCTGGGAAGCATATCGTTCGGGTAAAATACTTTCTTTAAGTTACTTTGTATAAGTTATTAATTTTTTAATTCATTTTTCTTTAATCTTAAGTTGGAGATATTAGTTGAAATTGGTTATTGTAGAGGGAGAGCGATGCGACAAAACCTACGAAACAAAAGTTTTTCATATTTCGACTCATGGATCCATATATTTGGTAAGGATCGAGCTACAGGAGAGTTTGCTGAAGGGCCTGCTGATGCAGTTGATGCTATCAATGCCGAGGAAGAATTGTTATTCAACAATCTTCCAGATGATGGCACATTTCTTAAACACACGGGTATTAATAGTCATATCGGCGAGGGAATAAATTGCTCTAGCTCATAAAGTCAACGACCACGTGAAAGTTATACAAAAAAGAATGACAACAAGAAGAGGCCTAGAGGTAATGATGATGTAGTTAAAGGGTTGTCCATAATTGTTAATAAGTTGGGTGAGGTATTTTCTGCCACCAATGAAAAGTTGGATTTCATTGGTCGAAGGATGGGTTATGAACATGATCTCGCATCTAAATGGGCAAGTTTGAATGATGAACTCATTAAGTTGCCAATTACTCTTGATGAAAGGCTAGATGCTTGTGAGATCATATCACAAAGTGTTCAAAAGCTCGACATGTTCTTCAGCTTGATACATGATGACAAACTAAGGTGGGTGATGAGGTTACTACGTAGGAGTGCTCCATGACAGACTTGTGGCTCTTTTATGTCCTTCTACGTACTTAGTTTTTTTTATTACTCTAATGCATGTAATAAAGACTTGACTTTTTGCTATTTTTTTTGTTGAACTACTCATATTTTGCTACTTCATGTTGCAATCTACTACTTGGAATGCTTATTTTGAAATGATGAATGGTAGATTTATATTTCTACAATTTCATAGTTGAATCATTTTTGATATTTTTTTGTTCGAAAAAAAAAGAGTTAAATTTTGTTTAAATGAATGCCTTTTTGAATTTGGGTAGTGAATTGTTGGATAATTAAAATAGCAATGCATATTTTTTAATGATTGCTTGTGTATATATAAATTTTATAGTAGAATGATTTTTTATTTTTTCTATTAAAAAAAAGTGGGTTAAATTTTGTTCAAATAAATACTTTTTTAAATTTGAGTAATGAATGGTTAGATGATTAAAATAGCCGTATATTTTTTTTAATGGTCGCTTATGTATATATAAATTTTATAATTCAATGATTTTTTATTTTTCTATTAAAAAAAAGTGGGTTAAATTTTGTTCAAATGAATCGAGATGGATGTGGAGCAACAATATGAAAATTTGTTTTTTAAAAATTATAACACATTTAAGTGCAAAATTTTACATTAATTATAATAGGGGTATTATGGTCAATATATTGGATGTCTCATATCATATCATGTTCTAATCATACCAATCCCCTTAAACAAATATCAGATTGGATAATATTTTATTAATCCACCCTTATAATCTTAACTCAATCTAAAGATAGGATATGATACACAATCCAAAGAATTTGTAATCCTAGGACTATTAGTCATGGGAATACTAATCCAATGTAATCCAATCCGCCCAAACATATATAGCCATACATCTTTGTTTGTTTCACAAGGTCACACACATACACATACATACATACATACTCTGCTTTATATTTCTAATGCAGAAAGCTAAATGATGATGAAGAAAACAGAGCAACTACTGTGTTGCCGAAGTCTTTTGGAGTCAATTTCGCATTTACTCGGAAAATGGTTTGAACAACCAAATATACGAAGTGAATCACTACCCGGCAAAGAACGCGTTTCCACCTGGACACACCTCAATCGGTGTTCCGAGCCCATCTCAATTTAGGCTCAAAGTTAGTCAAAAGTCATGGTTGCACAAACTATTTTTCCAACACTCTGTGTTATCTATTTTTGTGGGAATTTTTCAAGGGGATGATCGGGGGACATCCAGCCGGACGTCCGGCCGGTCGTCCAGTGGGGCCATCTTCAACGGTCATGTACAGTAAAATGGTGAAAGGAGTCCAGATCTTCAGTTTGGTGAAATATTTGTCATTTTCTCAAATTGATACAGGTTTGATGAAACCATTAAAGCAAAAAAAAAAAAAAAAAGGATTTTTTCACCAAATTTGAATTTGATGATGAATTTGGTGCAGCGTTGGAAATGGCCTTAAGATAGGTGAAAATTGGCATGTGATTTGTACATAACATCTCAAATGAAATACTTAAAATGATTTTATCAGTTTATTTGGTTTATTTTTTAAAAAACATTTTGGAGTTGTTTAAGTTTTTTATTTTATTTTTATTTTTAATCTTTAGTGAATTTTTTTTCATATTTAATTTAATTTGTTTTAGGGCACTTAGTATATAAATCTAATTTTAAATTTTCTTTACCCAGAAGTTCATACTCTAAAATATTTTATAAAATAACCAAACTACGCGGATATATATATTATTTCCAAACCCTAACGGATCATCAGATTGATCACCAAATTTAAATCTGATGAAAAAGGACAGTTTTTATCTCTCCAATGGTTTCACCAAAATGATATCAAATTGAGAACGGGCCAAAACTTTCACCAAACTAAGGATGGATTGCACCTTTCAGCAATTTACTATGCGTAGCCGTTGAGTGTGGACCCACCAGACGACTGGCTGGATGTCTCCCCGGATGACCACCTCAAGGCATAATTTGTAAAAATTTTACATTAACTGGTCGACTGCCCGGTCAACCACTCGGTCAACCCCCCAGTCGACCCCCCGATCGACCACCTCTGCATCTTTTTTTTTGCCCTGCCTTTTTTGCCAATGCTCGTGGGAGGCCTCTAGCTAATCGCCTTCATCTTCTCTCTCTTGTGATTTTCCACTCTTTTCTCTACCGGGGTAATTCCAAGATCTTCCAAACAATCAAGCTCTTGTTTTCTAAATCACAACAACCCTTTCATTTTTTTCATTAATTTAAGCTCTTGACCTTCAAACCAATTCGGGTCTTCTTTAGATTTTCACTTATCATCCCAAAGAAGGAATACAGGAAAAAAAAATTCATAGGCATTGTTCTTGGAAAAAAAAATAAAAAATTGTGCTCTTTTGCAAACATTTTCTTGTTCTTTCGAAAAATATTAAAAATCATCCGAAGTTTTGGAAATTTCTTTCATAGACACTTCTCCTTTATTTAATCTAATCCTTTATGGAAAGAAAGTCATGCCTATAACCACCAATTGCAATTTCATTCCCTTACTTTTAGCCCTTATATATATATATATATATTATTCTCTTTTCCTTTATTCAAATCCCATAAAATTTAAAATTTGTAGAATGACCTGACATATATTTTCTTAAATTTTAGCTTAATTCCATTGTCCTTTTGCTTATTTCGCTTCACTGCTCTCGTGCGACATTTCGCTTCGATACTATCTGGGTTGTGAGCTCAGGAGAGGTGAATTTCGAATCACATATCTAGCCACTAATGTGGAAACAGGCAAAAAATTCGCTTGCAAATCCATATCCAAGAGTAAGTTGAGGACTGCTGTGGACATGGAGAATGTGAGCAGAGAGGTTGAGATGATGAAGCTCTTGTTGTTCCTCTTTTCGGTCGACCGGTCGGTCATCCCTCGGACATCCAGTGTGTTTTGATGAAAGTTACAATACTCACCATTGGAATGACTGATATCAGATTGAGAAATTCGACTCTTTTTTTACTCAGATTTGATGAAATTTTTGGTGAACCATTGGAGATGCTCTAACCAAACCATTTTCTGTCTCTCTTTCTCACCCCTCCCTTCTACGTCGATCTCCTCAATGGCAATCTCCCTCCACCGATCACCCACCTCTCTCTCTCTCTCTCTCTCTCTCTCTCTCTCTCTCTCTTCCCCTCATCGTCGTTTGACCATCGAGCACATCACAATAGTTACCGCCTCCTCTAACCTCCATCACTTCTCTTCGGCGGCGAGTATTGCCTCCGGTGTTCGTCGTCCTCGATTCGGCTCAGGTAGAAGTCAACAACGCAAGTTTGTGGCGGTGAACGCGATCATCAATGCGTGAATCACAGATTTGTAGGTATTTGGAGTTAGATCTGATTGTTCTGACGAGATCTCTCTACCATCGTCACTGCCAATGGCTTCTCGAGCTGCAGTAAATCCTCAATCTAACTTTGTCAATCCCCGTATTCCGGCGTCACACAACTCTGATCTACATATAGAGTTCGTCATCGTCAATCGGCCCATGATCTAATCATGCCACGTCACCCTTCTCTCGTCAAGTCATCACCTTT